TGCTTTTTACAGTGCTTTACCAATCATTGGCAAACTAGAGCCTCAGAGTAAGTCGATTTGTTGTTCAGCCGATTTGAGATCAGGACAGATTACGGTGTGAAAATGTATTTACCAAAAGTTATTGTGTCCCTCTGTAGTCTCTATGGCAAATGACCTGGCGTGCAAAGGACTGGATAAGATAGAGAAGACTCTGCCGATCCTACACAAGCCGTCTGATCAGGTATTTAGTAAACTCCACATTAATACTGTCTAAATGTTAAGCATAAGGAAAGTACCACAGTTTTAAGCACTGTTCTAATGCATTCAGATTGTCAAAGAGGCAGTGACGGGAGCCAAGGAAGCTGTCAGCGGTACCATGAACGGTGCCAAAGAGTCCCTCGGTGAAGTGATGGACCGAACACGAGGGGCAGTTCATGGCGGTGTGGAAAAGACCAAGACGGTGGTTAGTGGACAAGTCCAAACAGTGATGGAGAGCAAGGCAGTCAAACTGATGAGCAACAGAGTGGACACAGCACTGAGCACATCTGAGACTCTGCTGGAGCAGTACTTACCTGAAACTGAGGAGGTGAAAGGTGAGGATAGATGGACCATGTTTTTTTGGTACTAGAATGTATTGATGATATTTAGACTGTGACTTAAAATTGCTCAGCTTTAGAGTAGTTTCTAAAAGATGGCCTCTTTTCTTCCGTATTGTGATGTATGTGTGATGTGTGATTGAAACGTCTTGTTTTTAACGGGACTTGATTTTGTCCATCGGAATTGTTTGGATGGTTGTGGTTCAGTATTGGTCGATCTCAAGAGAGTGACAGGTTGTCCCGCCCTCGTGCAAGTAAACTTGTCATCAGAGAAGAGAAGTTGCTGCATTTCTTTCATCTGTGGAACACAAAGGAATGTTTAAAAAAAATATATATATATCTCAGTGAAAGTCCATGGGGTCTAAATGTTATTTCATTCAATTTCATTGTATGGACGAAAGTAAAAAAAAAAATCTTCAAATATCATTTGAAAAGACATAATTTTAACTAAATTATTTAAAATATATATATATTTGTGAGCTATCCCTTTATTCTTCTATAAAATCCTCTTGCACTCTGAGAACTGCACATATAAGATTCCTCATATCTTGTGATAGTCTTGGGATATGCTTCTTATAAGGTATGGCTTTTTAAATTACATTGGAAGAATATCCTTACTGTATGTTCTGTTTTGAGTGTCAAAAGACTGCATTTAGTACTGGCAATTATTTCCTGAAGTCCATTTTCCTGGAAAAAAAGTATTATTCCCATTCATGTGTGGAACATTAGAATTAAGCACATCTCAAAGAGATCGTTGACAAGGAATCTAAAATTAATTATTGTTTCAAGAGCCTCACTAATCTTTATTTATAAAATCCCAATGGAAATTATGAAATTAACAATTGCATCTTTGTCCTGTTTCTGTGGTTGTCCTTTCAAAATCTCTCAGAATGTGAAGGGAATTACACAGAAGGATTTGAAAATAACAGTGATGCACCCAGTTACTACGTGCGACTGGGGTCTCTCTCCAGCAAAGTCAGGGACAGGACGTACCAGAGAGCTGTAGATAAGGTTCGTAATGACATGCAACACAGTCCAGATCTCCGCTAAACCACACCTTGGATAAAAGGTCAAAATTATGAGATAAAAATTAAAAATGGACATATTAAGTCCTACTTATTACATAAAAAAACGTCTGTCATAATTATGAATACTAAAGATTAAGGTCAAAATGATGACAAAAAGTTGAAATTGTGACACCAATGACAGTCATCATTTTGACATTTTATGTAATAATTGTGACAAAAATGAAATATTTAGAAATTATGACATACCGAGTAATAGTTGTGAGATAAAAATGTGAAATTATGTCATACTAAGTCATAATTCTAACATATCAAGTCATAATAATGAGATGTAAAAAATGAGATAAAAAGTCAAAATTATGACTTCCTTTGTCATGCTTTTTATACTATAAGTGACTTATTAGTATGTCATAATTTGTTTTATCTCATTATGACTAAGTCAGAATTTTGATTTAGTGTGTCTTAATTTTGACTTGTCATAATTATGATTTATCCTGTCGTAATTTCGACCTTTCATCTTTTTTAACCTCATAATAAATGACTTGATAATTTTCATTGCATAAATGAGTTATTATGTCATAATATCGACTTTCTATCTCATAGTTATAACTTAGTATCTTATAATTATGGTTTAATGTCATAATTCCGACTTTTTATCTCATACTGTACATATGATTTAGTATGTCATAATTTCGACTTTTTCTCTCATAATTATAACTTACTAAAGCGTTTTGTTTTCTTATGTGGGGGGAATGGGCTTCCATACAATAGACTGTCTCCTAATGTTATTTCCTTTTCTTATTAGATTGAAAATACCCGGAAGAGTATTGATGTGTCTAACCAGAAGCTACATCAGAAACTGAGTTCACTGATGGGCTGGAAGACTGGGACTCAGAGTCAAGAAGAGAACGAGACAGTCAATGAAGCTGAGGTACCCGAGAAATCATCTGACTGCAAATGATCTCAAAGATACAGTCTGAATTTCACGTTTTTAGAGACGTGAAGTTCCGTTAACATGGTTAAATGCTTGGATCTCATTTTCTCTTCTGCAAATGTTTTTTTTCAATCAGCAAACAGAATCACACACACTGACCATTGCCTACAACCTCAGCCTGCAACTTCAGACCACGTATCTGGTCTTGGTGTCCAGCCTCAAAGGTCTCCCTCAGCACGTCCAGGTCCAGGTGGCCTCTGTCAGCCACTCTGCCTTGGAGGTATACAGCAGCTTCAGAAAGACAGCCGTCATAGGAGATGTGTCCAGTACCATACTCGTCATCAGTCGATCTCAGCTGAGCAGAATAGGAGATTCCATGGATAACGTCATGGACTACCTGCTCAATAATACACCTCTCAATTGGCTCGTAGGTCCGTTTTACCCACGTGTGGCACGCAGTACTTCAAACGGCCCTAAATGTAACAAACAAAGGACCCTTCAGCCTGAAGTGGAGATGCAGTCAGTGAATGAGGACCGATGAAATTTCAGGATATTAAACATTTGTTTATATCTTACAAATATACGTACAATCACACATTCCTGCCAATAAAATCCAGTCAAATATTTTATGTGAACAATCATATATATTAGATAAACAGCATTTTAATGAATAATATTTCTGAAGTATTATCAATCTGTATATGCCTAATCCAGTTAGGCATAAATAGTGCCTTTTACACTATTTAATCTGCTGTCTTTTTATTGTTTTTGTACATTTCTAATAAAAACCTACACTTGCAATATTTATTTTTGTCATGCCTGTTGTTTTGAGGATGGAAATTTCACCTCGACAATAGTATTTTTAATATTTTATATATATTTTTAGTATTCAATATGTGTATACAGAACACTACATGGTGTAATGGACATTTGGTTTTGGATCCACAAAATTTCTATGTGCTTAAGATGTGGTCTCCAACTCATTCCATAATCCTCATCTTTTTTTGTGTCATTCTTTTGTGGATTTAGTTTTTAAGACTATTGTCTTGAATCTTAATTTTCAGGTATACCTCTCATGCTGCGCATTTGGTGAAAAGGCGGATAACCTTTTTTGCATCATGTCCGATTTCATCTTTTCAGATCTGGTATCAGAGCCCGATATGCTCTATGTGGAGGGTTTGGAAAACTCTGAGAATGATACAGAGCATCATTTACTAATCAAACATTCAAGTTTTATAATTATTTTGCAATCCAATAAACCATTAAGCTACACTTACACTCACCGTCACCCACACAGTGGGTGGGTCACAGCAAGAAGTGGGTCACAGCAAGTGGGTCACAGCAAGAAAGTCCCAGGCAATCCTTGGCTGAGTCAGGAGTTTTGTTCTTCTCGGTGTCTCCCCTGTTGCTCTGGTTTCCCCCCATCAGTCCAAAGACATGCAAGTGGGTGGATAGTATATGCCAAAATTGTCCTGTGAATGTGTCCCAGAACTCTCAATGCTTGTGTCAGGGCATCCGATTTTTAACTTTCCTTTCCTTTCCTAAGTCACCTTTAAAAATATATGGGATTGTTGTGGATATTATGTATAATAGCTTGCAATTGAAAAAGTGGCTTGTATACAGACGTCATTTTTAACCTCATTCTAGTATCATATTTCATGTCAGATACTCTGTAGAACATTTCAGACCTCTCCAACTCAAAATTTTCTAATGACTGATCACATTTAAATTTTATTTATTTAATTGAATTTCTGTGAACTTAATTTTATCAATTGTGGCAACAGTCTGTTAACATTGGATCGATCAGAAATAATAAGTTGAGCCAATGGAAAAATTTGGTTTACCAAACCGTGTAGTTGGTCCAAAATTAAATATTTTACATTTTAGTAGCAATTGTTTCACGAAAAGCATAAATACATTAAACAAAATACAAAACACAGACAACAGGTTTGACATTTACATCTTAAGCACAATTGGAATCAGAGGATAATAGGCATTGCATAAATATTCTTGTATATTTATTTTACATATTACTAGATATTAATTCTGTCTTCATTAACATTTATTTTAACAATTCAATGTACAGTTAAATAACCACAAAAAAATCCACACAAGTTTCAGGTAATCACACATTAATTAATACTTGGCTATCTATGAAAGCTCACTAGACTAAGACATAGAATAATAGACTTATAAAGTACAGTATGTAAAAGAACAATTGACCTAACTTGTTCCAAAATAGTTCAATTAAGAGTTAAAATGGTATACAATAAAGGTTTCATTTGTTAACATTAACGACATCAGTTAACATGAACTAACATTTTATTTACTTAATATTAATTTTAACATTCACTGTAAAAAGAAAGTTGCTGCCTTAAATTTTTAAGTACAATCAACTTGGATGTTTAAGTCATTGTAACTTAAATTACATTAAACTGTCGTTCTTTAAAAAAAGTTGAAAATTGCTTAACTTATTTTGATGAGTTAAAGCAATGTAAAAACATGTTTGTCATAACTTATTAATCATATTTTTTTTTTACAGTGTAGCCTACATTATCAAAAAAAAAAACATTGTATCTGTTAATATTATTAATGGACCTGATCTAATGAACTAGGGATGGACAGTTGCATTTGTATTAACTAAATGTTAACAAAGATGAATAAATAACGAAACAAATGAATTGCTCATTGTTACTTGATGTTAATTAATAAATGGGAACCTTATTTTAAAGCCTTTAAAATGAAATTAAAAACAATTAAAAATCAATTTCAATTCATTTGAAAAACATTAGATGAAATGATAGGAAAAGAGTAATGAGGCTTAGTGGAGGCATACTCATTGTGGCTTTACCTATGTGAGTCAGAGTGAAAGAAAGAAAGAACAAAACGGTCAGACACAGGAAATTTTTCCTTTCCAATCAAAGGTATGTTTAATTAAAAAAAGCTGTCAAGTAACGATTACACTATCTGTACTGTGCTTACCTAATGGAGAATGTCTTTGCAGAGCATTTGTTTCTTTTGCTAGCACAGGTTCTACAATTAAGAAAAAGACTGGCATTAACACAGTCTTACAACAGGCCATAACAGGTCAAATAAATGTTCCAAAAGGGTTTTCACAAGCGATGCCATAGAAGAACAGTGAACCGTTCTAAAGAATCTTTTTCCATATTTTGTGAAATGGAAAGGTGCTATGGATATTAAAGGTTCTTCAGGGAACCATAGAAGCCAATAAAGAACCTTTATTTTTAAGGGTGTAATGTACTGAAGAAAAGTTACCTGTAACTGCGACCTTCGTTGTGCTGAGCGCCAAACCCTGTGAGTCTAGAACTTTGTATGTTCCGGCACTGCTGGGCGTAACCGCCCTAAAAGTCAACTTGCCGCCTCTCTCTTTCGGATAACCTTTCTTGCTTATGTCTGCATCTCTTTCCCACAGGACTGACCAGCTGGTGTCATTACTGTTTTGAAAAATCACTTGCTCAGCTTGATGCGTGTACAGATCCAGGATCAGCTCTTCTCCAGGCTTCACAGACTTAATGGTCTTGTGATCTGGGAAGAAACAAGCCAGCATCAATTTAGATATTCTGCTGCATGCTATATAGAAACTGTAAGTATTTTGACATTTATGTATTGCCCCCATTCTATTCCAGTTTAAATGCTCACTGATACCCAGATTTTTTCCAAACACGGTTGCGAAAGTTTTGCCTTTGATACACTTACAGTGAGGTGTTAAAATTGTTAAGTGTTAAACTCTCACCAATAACTGCAAGTTGGACGCTCTGAATGAATACTCGGTTCTTGATACTTGATTCTCCAACCACCAGGTAACTCTCGTAAATGCCTGCATCGCTGAATCTGACATCCCGCAAGAACAGTGAGCAGTTTCCCCTCATAAGCATTTCCTTAGGCACATCCGCCCGGTCTATGTAAGCCTCTCCCTGAAACAGCTCCTCTCCCATTCGCTCGAAGACTGAATCCCTTATGGTCTGCCACTGAATGTGAGGCGTGTGAGCTGTTTGCAGCTGATATGCCACAGTACACGGAAGCACAGCCGGCAGACCAACCTTTGATGAGGTGCGGACAACCGTTGAGAGGGGAGAGGAGCCTATAGGTATAAATTATTATATGAAAAAAGCAAAAATGTGTATAAATAACTTATAGGCCTACTTTTATCATTGTCTACTTACCAACACAAATGAGAAGCCATAGCATTAGAATGGCCGAAACCCTGTAAAGAAACGTTATTAGAGAGATTTAATTCCCTTAAAACATATCTAATGGATATTAGAGGCTGACGGTTACGACTGATTGCAGTTAACATGGAACGTTCTCGGAACATTCTGACAAGGTTCATTCAAAGTTATGAACAATCATTATTCCAGTAACGTACACAGAATGTTCATATTAAGTTATCATGTCTTTAAATATTAAACATTCTCAAAACATTAGCACAAAAACATCCAACATCCCTTACAAAAAAATAAGTATACTTCAACTTAATTTGATTAAGTATGCTTCAGTAAAGTTCAAGGATATTTTTAAGTAGCCTATATTAGGTAGGCCTATACTAATATCAATGTACTTGTAAGTGCTACTGTGAGGTTTGGACCATTTTTTTTTTTTTACAGTCTATGGTTTCCTTTGAACCCGTCTTGCTCCATCAGTTTCAGTTTGCAGCAGCTGCGTTGACGCTTTTAGCTTAAACGAAACTTACCAGTAGTAGCCAGGCTAATCCTGTAGGGAAGGCTGCAGTGTATGGCAAGCCGTTTTAACATTTAATCATTTAAACTGACTATAGCCTATTTATTTTCATGCTACTAGTACTTATTTTTTAGATACTAGTATCTATTCCATTAAGTACTAGTTGCCTACTTATTCAGTAGCTATAGGGCTTATTCTTTAGATACTAGTGCTTATTCTTTAGGTATAGTACCTTTTTAAAGATACTAGTAGCCTACTTATTCATCAGATACTAGTTCTTATTTATTAGATACCTATTCAAAAGACACTAGTACTTATTCATTAGATTCTAGTGCCTATTAAATTGGTAGGGTTAGGGTTAGTAATGAATAATGAATAACTAATGAATAACTACTAAGTAATGAATAACTACTAGTATCTAATATATATGTACTAGTCACAATTGGAATACATACTAGTTAGAACTTAATAGTTGATATCTGAATGACAGATTATTAAATTAAATTTTTTTTTTTTAAATTAAATTTGTAACTAGTAACAAAAGAATAGTTACTAGTCACTATCGAAATAAGTAGTATTTAATAGGTACTAGTATCTAATTAATAAGTACTAGTATCTATTTAATAGGTACTAGTATCTAATGAATCAGTATAGTATCTAATAATAAGTACTAGTAACTAATGAATAAGTACTAGTACCAATTTAATAGACACTAGAATCTAATGAATAAGTACTAGTGTATTTTTAATAGGTACTAGTATCTAATAAATAAGAACTAGTATCTAATAAATAAGAACTAGTATCTAATGAATACTAACTATCTTTAAGAATGTACTAGTACCTAAAGAATAAGCACTAGTATCTAAAGAATAGGCACTAGTAGCCTACCTAAAGAATAAGCACTATTATCTAAAGAATAGGCACTAGTAGCCTACCTAAAATATAAGCACAAGTAGCTAATGAATAAGTACTAGAAGGCTACTTAATGGAATAGATACTAGTATCTAAAAAATAAGTACTAGCATGAAAATAGATAGCCTACTAGTCGGGTTAAATGATTAAATGTTAAAACGGCTTGCCATATGCAGTGACAGGACTCAGGACCGCAGAGGGTTTTTTTATATTTATTTTTTTAAGCAGTTTATACTATTTTATAGCACTTACCATTAAATTATGTGTGCTATTCGGATTATGCTACTCAATCAAGAGACACGTTTAAAAAAACCAACAAGCGATGACGATGTTGATTCGAACTTTTACATTTTAAGAATGTGACAATTTCCTCAGAATATCACCTTGTATTCTAATGTGTTGCTATTAAAGAGGTTTCTCACCTGTTACTTCTGTCCATGTCGCATTTGTGCAGGCTCCTGCTAGGCTGCTTCTGTCAGACATTCTACTGTAAACAGCTCAGCAGAGGCGTTATCTACAACGTTCTCTCTCTCCATTTCTCAAAAACGAAACTTATGCTGCATTAAGGATTTAACCGTCGACCTTGATTTTTCCCTTGGCTAGCCCAAATTTCATATCAACACATTTGGTGAATGGCTGTATCTGAATATAATCATTTGTCAGATTTAATCAAGTCAAAATAGTTTTGAGGTTGATCTAATTTATATCTTTAATGGAGGATTTGTGGAGTAAAAACAATGTTTTTATTTTTAAGTGGAAAGATACAACAAGACAAGTCAGAGCTATACCTCCACCATTGAGTGAGCCTGCGCCTCACATGTGCTCAGTCAAAAAAGTCTGGACACACACTGTCTGCAGTTTTTAGCATATTTGTGAATTACTGGACATGAGTGAGTGCTCAATGTTTCAAGATAAATGTTTTAGTTCGTTTAATCACACCATCCATTGCTGTTCAAAAATAAAGGGATACAAAATGTTCAATTAGTCCCTGGTTGTTGTTTCTATATGTTGGATGTCAATCTAGCAATAGCTACTAACTAGACCTATGTGTATCTGGACAGAATAAGGAATAAACGTTGTCCCCTGCCAAGTAATTTACTCATGTGTGTTAACTGAAATAAAAATAAAAACTCTGTGAAAGAAATGATAGAGAAGATTCTTGATGTTAACATCCCATTGTCACCTTTACTCTTTCTATTACATTTATTTCCTAAGGAGATCAAGTTAAAAAAGAAAGAGTTTATATTTATAAATATATGCATCCTTCAAGCAAAACGGCTTATTTCTTTAAATTGGAAGAGTATTTGTGCACCAAGTATAGGACGTTGGCTAAAAGAAATGGTAACAAATATGTCAATGGAAAAGATGACTTATATTTTAAGGGACAACTATAAAATTTTTGATGGAGTTTGGGGACCTTTCAGATCATTCTTAAAATGTGGTAGACTTGGAAAGGTGTTAATAAAAGACTAAGAAAAGAGGAGGTATAGAATAGCAATTTAAAATACTGAGAGGCTGTTTTTTTTTTTTTTTTTTTTTTTTCTGGTTTCCTGTTACATGGAAATGTATTTGTTCATGTGTTTAGTTCAAAAGCAAAAACAATAATAATAATAAAAAATTGGTAAAAAAAAAAAAAAAAAACTCTCTTCATTTTAAATGGACAGCATTTAAATTGTGTCTGGTTTTATTGGTGTCATGTTCATGTTTCATATCTTTTATTTTGAAGTTTAGTCATGGTCATGGTTCCTGTTTGTCATGTGATTCCTAATGTGATCATCATGTGCTTCCCTAGTCTCGTGTTGTTCTCATTGGTTGTTCTGGTCATGTGTCCTGTTTTCTCATTAGGTTCATTGTTTGATTAATCACACGTGTTCCTTGTAAATCATTACTATTAGTCTGCTGAATCCAAAATCGACCCTATACCCTCAAATAGGGCGCTATTTGTTTAGGGAGCGATTTAGGGAGCGATTTCGGATTATGAAATATGAGAGCTGACCTGCAGAAACCTGAGATTCTCGACACAAGCTTCGATGCCTCGATATCAGGCCCTAACCACTAAATGCTCATGTTTATGCTTAAGTCTACGTTTATGGTTATTTTCAAGTCAAGTTATATTTGAGTTAAGTTCTTTAAGTTTCACATCAATAAACTGCACATTGGTTCTTCACATTTGCCTTCAGTGGACTATTACAATTGGGGTCTAAAAAGGTTAAAAATGTAATGATCAATAAGCATTTTAAAGATTTATATGTACATTAATTATTTAAAACTATACTATCAGTAAATCATACGTATACAAATGAACTAGACTAGAGCATTTATTTCCATTTCAATGGATGGGAACTGGTAGAAAGAGATTCAGCTTAAAAGATGCCTTATCCTGTGGCTCCTCTAGTGGGCAACATCAATATCAGCCTTAATCTTTTAGTTGAAATGGCTGATAGTTTAGAATTTGCTGTTAGCCTCCTGAGCATCATAAATTCATGAAAATAAGCATGTTTGTTGAGAATGACTTGTTCTTCATATGTACAAAGGTTTGAGAGTTTTTGGACTTTGCACACAAGATTATAGACAATAGTATTAATGGGTCATATACCAGACACATATAAAAAATTGTATCTCATACCTAAACTGTTTAAAAGATCAATATTCTTTTGATAACCTTTTATTAGCATGGTCTAGAGCTGATGTGTTCAAAGTTTGGTGAAGGTCTGATAAACTTAGGAGGAGTTCAAAAAAGTGTTTCTTTCTTTCTTTTTTTAAATTGGAATGGCGGCTAAAGTTTTAGATAATCATAAAAGTTAGATTTACTATTAACCGAGCCAAAAGCAAGGATTCAGAAGAAATAAGAATACTTTTTTAAATTTAATTTAATTTGGTTATTAGCTAAAACACAATGTCGCTTAGTATAGCACCACCATGTGGCTGATTTTCACATAAATCGTTACACAAAATTATTGTGTAGAAATGTATCAATTTTTGTAATGGTAGACCATTCAGATGCGACATTATTAGCTGTTAAAATTGATTGGCTGGTGGCGGCCTAGTTTTTTTATTAATTTTTATTTATATTATAGGATATGTTAGGATGTCTACCAAAGAAGATGCATACCAATTTCCACGTTCTTGAATCATATTGCGGAGTTATAATGAATATGTTTATTTGTTGTAGCGCTCCCTATTGGCAGGATTTTCCGAAACTTGGTGTACGCCTTCAGAATGTCCTGTTGTCTATGGGTAGATTTACACGACAACAATGCACTAAAAACGGAAAAGCTTTTCCATTGCATTTTCACGTATAACTTTGTCAAACCGATTCCCATTCACACGGATCCGCGAAAACGATTAAAACATTTTATTCTGCTACCAGACCAGTAGTTGGCGAGGTTACTTTGTAAAGAAAACCTATGCGCCCTATAGACTAAACATGTAATATGCATGCATATAACGTCAACGTTTTCACAAATTTGTGTTTTTATAGTTTATGCAGAGACAAAATGGTATTGTTTTAAAAAATTTGAAATCCTTTTTCAAAAGTTTGCGTTTTCAGGCCTCCAAAACGCTGTTCTCGTGTAAATGAATGGCCATCAGTTGACAAGTGTTGTGTAAACGGCCCCTATGTGTATCAAGTTTTGTAACGTTTGGACAACTGCATTTAGTAGCTAAAGGTCAACTCGTAAAAATGGCCGTTGCTTGACCAATTAGTTAACATAACTTTGCAATGCTTTGACAAATCAAAATTCTTTTGATAACTTTTTGCTAGCACCTTCCCTGCTGTGTGCCTAGGACTAGGAGGAGTTTGTATGTTTTTAGAAAAATATTAAAGGCGGAGATGAAATCAGACATGTAAGCTGCATCCGAAATCACATACTTCCCTACTATAAAGTAGGCGAAAAATGGTATGTGACAAATTATGTCCAAATTCACAGTAGGCCTACTCATAAAAATGTAGGCAAAAAAAACAACCCTGAATGACTTCCGGTGAGGCGGTGTACGCATACCTACTCGAGAAAGTAGGCGATTTTGTTTCTAGCCTCCAAACAAAGTTATGATCCAAAATGCTAATTGACTTATTATAGCGCCACATTGTGTCAAGTGGGTGTGTGTCTGTACACCCGAGTAGCGGTGCACGATTGGGACCATCCTGCAAATTTTGGGGTCAATGATTTACGGTAGGCTATCTGAACCTAAGACACCAGACTTTTAGGGCAGAAGAAGAAGATCAGTACAATACAAACCTTACAGTGCACATCAGGGTCCAGCACCTTCTGTGTTTGGACCCTTAATTTAAAAAAAAAATTTAAGAAAAATGTAAACTAAAACGAACAAACAGCTTTGGTAAAATAACTGAACCTAGACTAAATAGGCTACTAATTGGAAGAACTAAATAAAAGTCGAAACTAAAAGCCCCAAACTATAACCATGTGGTGTGTAGCCTATTTATTTTAAGAGCTGAGTCATAGAATGAAATTACAACAAATAGCTTTATTAACAAAACTTAATAAACAGCATTATGTATACATGGATTTTTGGGTTTGTGGAACGCGTTGGAGCTTGAAATATGCTATCATGCATGACGTTTTTTGAATCGGTTCTTTGACACGAACTGTTCGAAAGAACCGATTCGCGGAAATTGGTAGTTCCCAGGTTCCCAGACAGAAAATCTCGCGATATATCAGATGATTACATACCACATTACAGTGTGCGATAGAGACAGGTAAGATGGCGGCGCAGGAGACCGAAGCAACACAGCAGTTGTCCGTAAGCAACGGAGAGGTAAGAATTGTCGAAATAATAAAGTATAGCCATCAGATGGACTTGTCAACGAACAGCTTTCATATAGTCCACAAGTTCACGAGAGTAAAGACTTGCTTCCTGCACGTTTTAAAGAAAAAATCCAGATTGCCGGTGTGAATCAGCGACCCCTTTAATTCAGCATGCAGTTGGGGAGAAAACAATGTTGTCTTAGTCACGTAGGGTCTTGTCCGATTGTGTGACTTATTACCGGCACATCTCCTTTTTACAAAGCTAATTTTACACCATTTTCTATATTGCAGGCTGTATTTCAAAAACTAGTAAACTACTGTTCCCTTTGACAGCATTTTAAGGCACATCACGTTTGAAAGCGCATTTGATGCCCTCAAAGGTGGCATCAAATGCGCCTCTGACTTGCCTTTAAGAAACAGCCTATATTGTAGGCCTATATTTGTTCAGAAACTGATATACTGTTATGAGCTGATGTCTGAGTTTATCATTCTTAGCATGCTGGCTAACTAGCTGCCTAGCTCTTACGTTAGCTTCACATGTCAAAGCAGTTTAAAGATGGCAGTATTGTGCAATCCTGGTCACTAATCGTCCAGTTAGACCGTATAACGTTAGTGATACAATAGCACGTGTCTTGGGCGCAGTTGGAAGAACTGTAGTTGTGGTTAGAAGTTTTGTAATGATTATGCTGTGT